TCTTGGTTGAACTGGAGTCAATATGGAATAGCTTGTTGACAATGCGGAGTTAGTCCTCTTTTATGTCAGTGTAACCAAGAGCACAATTTTGCCAATTATTAACTTTTGTTACATTATTTGTATTTCTGTGCATGTCAGGATTTGTTAATCTCGTTGTTCAACATCAAGTAACCTTTTGCTGAAAACACAGCGTCATTGTGAATTAGGTATCATCAGCTAAATTGAACCTCACCCTGTGCATTTGACAGATGGTAATACATTCATTAAGTGTTCTGTGGTTGCTTTGAGGTTGGAAAGTGCTATTTTTCTGGCTTCTAACTCAGGATTCTTAAGTAAAGTTGTATAAAAGCATAGTTTTGAAGGGAGAAGGAAAATCACAAAGAGTTCGTGAGGTTTTTTTATTAATATCATTGTTTACTATTGGTGGGATGACAGGGCAGGACTGTGATTGCTGTAAGTTGTCTTTGGCTGCGTGAGCAGCCCAGAGCAAAGTAGTGAAGGATGAGACACATGGTTCCACCATGGATTTTCCATATACACAGGTAGAATTTCTTGGAGTTTGAAGTTATATTAAATACATCACTGTGGAGACAATACGATGCTGATGCCTTTGTGCTTGGTGATTTCACTGTCCAGAAAGACGGTTTCCAGGAGTTCAGATAGTGCAGCTGTTGCACAAGTAACCGGATGACAGAGCTTCTCTCACAGAGCTGGTCACATTTGGGATCTCCAAGTTCATACTGAACAGCTGCAGGGTGGGGAAGCAATTGGAGGTAGAAATTTCAAAAGCAGCACAGAGCTACATTCTCAGGCATATTTCCACTTGGTATTGTAATATTGAATCCTCCACCCTTGGTAATGTCATTACCAAGGCAATGCAAAGCTGAGATTAGACACTTTGGGAAAAGTTCTCCACGAAGCCTATTTAGGGGTCACCTAAAGCAAGTGTAGAAGAGAAGACTCCACTGACTACAGAGGAAACTCAGGATGTTTAATTCAAACCTACTCAGTTAATTTACTCACTGCAGGAAACATTAATCCCACCCGTTGACTTGCAGTGGAGCCTCAGCTGTTATCAGCAAACCTATTTAGTTATTTAATGATGTTTCCAAGAGGATAAGTTGCCAAGGGAATTAGCTGTTTAGCCACTTCTGAAATTCATTGTGAGTGGTACCTTCGCAAATGGGGAATTAGTCACTTTTTGGTTAGTCACATCTTTTTACATGTCTTCATTCAGTCTAGTGCTGTGACTGGTATTCACAAGACCCCTGCCCTGGTGAGTGCCCACTGTCCCCTGTATTCTCAGTGGAGACAGTGTATAGAGTCATCCAGATTTTCACAAAACAGCCATAGTATGGGAGGTTTAGAATTAAATCTTTCTTCTGCTGACTTCGCTCAGTAACGTGAACCTAGACAGCTCTTTCCTCAGCAGAGTCCCAAAACCTTCAGAACTGTTGGATATTCTGAGGAGGTTATTTCTCGGTCTCTGTTCAAATTTTTTCAGCTTTCGCATAGTGTTTAAATATCAACCAGATAAGACAGAAAATGAGAGAGTTTTAGTTTTTCTGACTTTTACCTGTGGTGTCAGCCTTCAGTTGTGATCCACTGAATGCTGAGTCATTTATGGAAAGTGAAACAGTTCAACAGGAGAGCTGTACAAATTACCTGATACTCCACTGGTGGGGTCTCATCTGGCAGATCTGGGCTGACATAATGTTGAAAAGGCATTTGAAACTCAATGTTCCACTTTCCAGGAAAATGTTCTCCCTATACCACTGGTAAAATCACAGCACTTCTCCCAAAATATTTTGTAAGGAAGAAAAAACTGACCTGCTTTTGATACCTCTCTCTTCTGGGGGGTCACTGGTGAATTCAAACATAGGGTGAGTTCTCCCACCCATGCTGGTGTTAGACATTTGGCGCCCTCTGAGATGTGGTGCTTAGAAGCCTCTTGCTTCAATATTTTGAGATTCTTTTAAACATCCTCCTACTTTGAGTGGGGATTTCCCTGAGCATCTTCTCAAGGAACATAAGACTTCAAATCATATAGATAAATCTGAATGTGCCAGGCCACCTAGAAAGTAGGATTTGCAACATGGATATTTGCATATGGATTTCAAAAAATGCCTTGAAAACCATCGACAGGCTTTAAAAATGTGACCCTGTGCACCTAACTCCATTTGAAATGGCAATTTTAGGATCTTAATTATCTTAGCTTTTCAAAATTCTGTCACTATTCAGTTGGAAGAAAGGCAATTCTCCCTTGTTCACTACTCTTCTATTTTCATGGCTTTCTGAAAGATTTACTACGATCAGAAAAGCTTTGGTTAATTGAATGGGGTCATTGGTGTCACAAGTAGTGGTCCAGTTCTTGACTATCAGGATACGAGATGGTCCTGACCGTGTGGTGATTTCACTGTGAGATGTCAGAATCCTGTGGGTTCCAGCAATGCCTGTGAATTAGGTCACAGATGTGTTGAACCCCGAACATACACTTATTTCTGGCCTAAAGCGGCCGTATGTAAGCGCCAAGTATGAATTCAGATAGATGTTTTTCCCACTGTCACAAACAGGCTTCGCTCCAGGCATTGTTTTTGAGACAGCCATGACGCACTTTGATATATCAATAAGAGCAAAAAAAAACCCCAAGCCCTAATAAGTTCCAGGAAAGTTACATAAACAGATCTCACCTGCTGCTCCTGTCTCCATACACACACCTAACTGACCCCATGGGTTAGCGTGAAGCATCTAACGTAGTAGTGATACTGGAAATATTGCACAGATGACTCAGAGAACCAACGATCCTACTGGGTGAAGGGGATACTGGAAAATGCTCAGCGTTAAGCCAGTTCTCCAAAATCTGGATGAGCAAAATTGAATTAAATTGTAGTAATTTGATTCCATTGTCTCTAAATGAATGCATTGTAAGAGGACATAGTCTGAGGCTGACCAAGAGAAGGAGAACCGTCTATTCAACAGGTGTTATGGGTCAAACCAAAAAGAGATTGCTAAATCTTTTGAGTGTTGCCACATGGGGGTATATTACACGCTATGCAGTTACTACCCTTCAGTAGAAGTTGTGCGGTGGAGCGCAGCTGCAGATGATTAAAGACACCACTGCCAGCATCTGACAGCAGAATGTCAGTGTCAAAATTCAATTTGAATTGATTAAATAAGGGATGGCAACACTTTTGTTTTATAGATGGCAGCACTTCAGTCGCTTTAAATGCTCTGCTTTCAGAAATAAAATTCTTTCCCTCCCTGCTATGTTTGTTGGGGTGTTTTCAGTTGGATCGCAGTCATTTCTCCAGTCAATCAATTAAGCCAGGATTTGCCACTGTGTCTAAGAGTCAGCCACAAAAGAGCTGGTATGGTTCCCTGGTCCTTGGCCAAGAGGCTTCAGTGGGAGCAAGACATCAGGCAGCTTAATCTGACTTCCATCACTGGCACAAGGTTTAATGGATGTTCGGGCAGCAGAGAAATCATGTTCTGTGGTGTTCAGCTCCCACTCTCTCAATGGCCCTGTACACGCCGCCTTTTTCTCCGTGCCAAAAACACAGGGGCGGCTGACAGCAGAGCCAGCAGAGCTACCTGTGCCAGCAAGCTGCTCTATGCAGGGTGATCGCTGCCGCCTTTTGAAGCTTGCGTTGTGCTCCATAAATATATTTATCTCCATAGGCCTTGTAGTGCTACACCGCCTGAGTAACTTGACTCATTGAGTAGTCTCCCCTAAGTTAAACGGCAGTAAGTTACTCAGAGATATAAGATTTTATGGGATTAGGCCTTAAATGCTGACTCCAGGCCAGATCTGCAGCAGGTATAAATCACTGCAGGTAATTTTCACCAGCTGAAATTCTGGCCCTAAGCCTGTGAGTCATGTTGTTATTTTTTCACATTGTAAATTCTTGCTGTTTCTTATTTATATTGCTTTAGCACTTTGGGGCACTTGTCAGGGGCCAGGACCCCATCGTGCTTGTCACCTTTCAAACAGAGATGCAAAAGACCCTCCTTGCCCCAGAGTGTTTAAAGTTTAAATAACATGCAAACCTGCGTACAGTCATTCAGCTTTCTGTAGATGCATTATTGCAATCAAGTTTTTCTGTTATCCTGCCAGGGAAGCATAAGAACACAAATTCTGTGCCTGGGTTGATATTTTTGAGTAAAATATGTGCACCCTGCTGTATATTAAGTGACATTTAAAGACTGGAATTTGTTGGAGCCAGCAGCAGTGTGGGACGTGGTCTTCAGTAACTGAAGTGAGAGGTCGAAAGTCCCCTCTCCGTTGTAATGCCCTATTTGAGACATACCAAAAGGAGAATTTGCACCTAAGTTGAACCTGAAGTGAGGGGACTCTTAACGACGGCTGAATATCTCATCTCTTTCATGTAGCATTGTATTTAATTATTGTTGTATTACTTTCATTTCAGTTGTAAGGTATCTTCCAGCTCCATAGAGCTCTGGTTAGCATCTTTGGAATTATTGCTATTGCCTTTAATTACTCTGGAAGGGATTTGAAAGCAGTAAAACTACAACTTCTTAGAGCTGAAGTAATGCTAGAAAATTCTACTTCATTACCATCCTACCTGGCTGCTTAGAAAAATAAAGTAGTAGTGTACAGGGCTCCAGTTTACTGAGTGACATGCTCAACAGACCAGAAAATATCGTAGGGTGTAGGTGTTTTATCGGTGTATCATACTGACAAGCTGTTCTTTCCTTCTGTGATCTCTTTCATTGTTTTGGTTTTTCTTTTGTGCTAGTCAGGAGAAGACATGGCACAACAGTTTTTCTGTCCCCCTTTTCCATTGCAGGGTGAGCTTTACCCTCATGCAGATCTTGCTGGGCCACTTTGTCATCAGACTGTGTAGGCACTAGAGCACAAATTAAAAACAAAGAAATGGTTCTTGACTTTTTTTCTAGATACTACCATAGCCATTGACAATGAACGTTTCTAAATAATTCTTACTCTGCCCTAATCACTTATTCATTGCTTTTTGGCAAAGCCCTTGAAAGAGGCTTGGTGAAGGCTCTGAAGAAGCTGGATGACTATCTGAGAACCCCCCTGCCTGAGGAGATTGATGCAGACAGCCCTGAAGAGGAGAAAGTGTCTAAACGCAGATTTCTGGATGGAGATGACCTGACTCTTGCTGACTGCAACCTTCTGCCTAAACTCCATGTTGTCAAGGTAAAAGATGTCATGCGATGGTCAAAGAAGCCTTATCTGACAATGAAGTGCCCTGCTCCGACAGCTAAGTGCTAAAGACAACATGTATTTCAGCAAAGATATCTTAAGTCCTAGAAGAGCAGTCTGAAACACAGACTCAGTATTTCCTATGGGTTAACTTAAGCAACTTTGCATTTAGTACGTGGGAAACTGTCCCATCACTAATTAGTAGCAAAGACAATATTAAGATCTAGGTATCTCATCTCTTTATTTTAACCCTGCTGCAAATAAGAGCAGTCTTTCATATTAATTAGTTTCCGTTATTCCTAAGAGAGATGTCAAAACTTTAGTCAGTTCCCACCCATTTGTAACTTAAGAGCAGCAGTCCATCTTTTTGGGGAATATTTGTTCCAGCTGGTATTTCACACAGAGAAGTTAACAAATCAAAGTCACTGCTGAGGTCCAGGATTTAAGATGTACAATGGTCACTGGTGTAGCGCAAATAATGTACATCATCTTGAGTTTTAAATGTTGCATTTATTTAATTTATCAGATGACATGTTTCTTTAGAATAAAGCAAGTACCTGGCAGACCTTGGCAAGTAAGAAAGCTAGGAATTAAAGCCAAGTCATGCATCTAATTTGGCTCCATGAGCCAAAACATAAACTGAGCCTGGGAGCTGACTGCACACATGCAAAAAAGAAAAAAAAAAAAAAAAAAAAGAAAAAAAATGTGCGTAAGTCACCAGGTAAGAAATGTGGTAATATCCTTGCAGGTTTAGCTCTTTCTTTGGCTGATCTGATTCTCCTTGGGATGAAATGAAAGATGTCAAAAGAGAATTAAAATCTTTCTCAGACAAGCATAGCTGTAGGATATTGCCTGAAAAACATTTTACAGATGGAAGAAAAGGGTAAATTATTTTTTCATTTAATGGAAGATGTGTGCTGGAAATTGTGAAAATCTTGGCTTAAGTTGCCCGGCAGGTTTTATCTTCCCCATGTGTGTGTGAAGCACCATTGAAGGCAAGAATGCTTAATTAAATGCAGTTTAGGACAGTATTTGGACTTGCGTATACCAAGTGGATCCTGGTAATAAAAACAAATCACAGTAATTTCTGAGAACATGACTGTCCTAAAAAATCTGAGATGGAAAACAGCTCTACCGTGTGCTCTAAAAATAAAGGGGAACTCTGTGGCACATATGTATGTAATTTATGCCCAGGAACAATTTTATACTGTCAAAAAAATTAGAGATTGGAAGCACTCATTAAATCAGCTAATCCATCCCTTCGTATCAGCTAGTTCATTCTGTCACCACAGGATTATTCTATATGGTATATTCTTACAGGAGAACTGAAATATCCCAATCCAGCAAGCTACTTAACCAACCAGCTAGCTTTGAGCACAGATTAGTCCCACTGACTTCAATGGGACTATACAGGTGCTTAAAATTAAGTATGCACTTAACTATTTTCCTGAATAAGGGCCGGAGTGTTTTTAGAAATAGAAAGTTTCCCTTGATAGACAATTTCCTAGTCTAACAAGTCTTGAAATAACCATTTTCTCCCCCAGTTTATCCTAATACTCCTGTTTCTAAGGTCTGCTAAATCATCTTGGTTTCTCAATCATGGTACCCAAACCACGCTGTATTTTCCCTTTGCATGAACACAGATACGGCTTTCCAACAGCTGTAGGTGGTTACATCTCTGACACCATTGGCCAGGCAAAAGATATTACATATATTAAAAACAGAAATACAATATATGTTAAAAATAGTACAATGTTAAATATAAGTATAATAATTAATATGAAAATATGTTATATCTAATTGTTACTAATGCCTTTCTCTTAAATCAGTCTTGCTTTTTATGATTCAGTTCATCAGCTCTATCTTATGTGGCATCTCAGCTTTAAGTGATGTACTTAAGACTGGTAAGAAACACTAAAAACCAGTATGGTAAAATTAATGAACTTTAGGTACCATGAATGTCATAATTAGATGACAGTAGCCAGGCCATTGATTTAGAGTGTCCTTAGGCCAAGTAGCATCCTTGCAAGACAGGGGACAACCAACAGTCACTTTTCAGGCTTTACTGTTATAAGCCCCCGAGTCTCCAAACATATGTATCACTAGCAAGATGCTTTTTTCCCTCTTTTATCTTTGGTTTAGATTGTTACAAAGAAATACCGCAACTTTGAGTTCCCGACAGAGATGACGGGTCTGTGGCGGTACCTGAAGAATGCGTATGCCCGGGACGAATTCACCAACACCTGTGCAGCAGACAAAGAAATTGAGCAAGCCTACGCAGACGTGGCCAAGCGGCTCAGCAAGTCCTAACTGACCTCAGCGGTGGCTCAATATCCCCTTTTACACTCTTCTCCTTGTTGCCTTAAGATATATTTTATCATTATGTTATCTGGTTGGCATCCCTATGACTTCACCTGTTCAAGTGTATTGGTCAGGGACAAATCTGCTTATCCCTGGAGAAAAGAGAAGGCAGTTTTAGTGTTGGGGGTGGAGACCCTTTGAAATCTGAACCCAAGATCTGGCTCAACTAGTATTATTCGTAATCAGTATTGGAAATGAGTCCGCTTTACTAGTTTCTTGTTTCATGTTGGGGGTATATCAACACCTGTATTCTCTGGAGTTTTAAACACAGAATATTAGCTGAAATTTCAAGTAAGAAAGTTAGGAATACATAGAACTGGTTCTTCTGTAGGTTATTTCAAGGACACTTTTTCCCCCAGTGCTATTGAGACCCTTGAGGCAGGAACAGAATATGAGAGAGAGAGAGATGGGAAAAAAAGGAGTTTGACCCTAAAGGAGAAATAGTCTTAGCAGTTACATTTAAAAAACCTCTCTGAATGCATATTCTTTCTTAGCAGGCCCAAGAGTTTATAAGGTATTTATTTTTAACTTGGCACAAGAGGGGGAAGCCTGAGCGAATATGTCAGACTTGCAGATGCTACTTTGCATAAAATTTACATGATGTTGTTGGATCTGAATGTTTAAAGCAAAGGAGAGTGAATGAGAAATTGAGCAGGCAGCCCTTGGAAGAGTGGGGCGTCTGCCAGAATGTCCAGTGGATCTGCTAGTTGATAGAGACACACAGACACAGCAATAACAGGGACAGCATATTGACTCCAGTGACTATAGAGGGAATTGGCACAGCTAACCAAACCACGTAGGATATTGTCGTCTTGACTGTACGGTTGCCAGTTCCTTTATAATTGCTATCTTGGGAAACTTGGATAGGCAGGAGAAAGCTGTCGCTGCACACAAATTCCAGGCAGGGGAAGCGCTTTCTTTGCGTTGGGCTCCAGATGGGTCACTTTCAAGTACTCATCATCTCACCCCAGGAGAAGTTTGCTCTGAAAGCCTCAGAGAGGGCAGGCTAAAGCAGAGAAAGGCACATTTCCAGCCAGAAATTCAGCAAGTATGCTAGCAGAAATCCATGCATGACGCCTTAGTCCTGCTCATCCAGGGTTTACCAATCCAAGTTACATGATTCTGAATTAGGATTGTTTTCTAAAACTGATTATTTTATTCTATCATCTGTAGCATCTGCCTGACACAATCTGCTTTATACTGGTGATTATTTGCACGTTACTTTATCAAAGTCAGAATGACTTTAGCTCTTTTGTATGAAATTCATGTGCCCTCATATGTACAACAGTGCACATGGCTCTCAATTTTCAGTTTGGGGAGATTTATTGTTGTTTTCCAAGATAAAATAAAGCTGAGCTGTAACGTGATGTGGCTCCCCTTCTGATCAGGGCTGCTAGAACTGCGCTGATTTGAGGGGAACCCCAAGCTGGTGAGCTGTCACCAAGAGGAACCTGGCAGCAGGCTTGTTTGCAGCCAGAGAGCTGTAGGACTGGAGACAGCATCAAAAGCCAGCCTCTGCCATGTGATGCCGATGACAATCTGAAGCCATCGTGTTGCTTTGGTGGGATTATTCCACTTTACACAGTAACCCAGCTGGGAGCAGAACATTGCTCATTGACTGTGAAGATAGTTTGTGGTTGACTATTGTTTCTCATGCAATGGTCAATTTATTCTGAACTTTCAAAACCTTGGAAGAAAATCCATGAATTCCCAAGTCTTCTTCTAGAATGGGCTATTTTAACAATGGCTAGACTGGAGGGCAGAGGCTCGCACTCTTTAGAATACTGCTGAGAAATCAACTGGCTCAGAGAACACTAATAGCAGCCAGAAAAATCTAATGAGATTAGAAGTGTCTGCACAAGCACATGTGGCTTGTTAAAAACATTTCTTCATGAGATTGGAATTATTTGTGATTTTTTTTTTGGTTAAGATTACAGGAATTATTTATTTATTTATTTTAATTGACTCAGTTCTTTCCGATTGTCTTTCTGGTTTTATTTTTGCTCAGCACGCTGGTCAAGATGGCTCTGTCTGTTTAGAAAAGTGTTATTAGCAATGCTCCACAAATCCATTTCTAGTGAAAAGTCTTCTATCTGATTAAGAATCGCTGGGCTTTTTTTACTTTCAATATGATTTGGCTAGGAGCATGCCAATCAACAGAATCTACGTTTTTCTCAGTTGTCTTTTTCCATGTTTGTACTTCAATTAGCAGCTTTTCATAATCACAGTTGCAGTCAATCTTTGAGCAAAGATGCAGAGGCAGATGCAGATGCAGATTCTTGCTTTGTGCTTATTATATTTAGCTCCTTAAAGAAGGTTGTCCAAACATGCAGCAGATCTACCAGCAAACGGCAGGGTAAGTGAACCAATTCAGGGTCTGACCTGATTTCCATCTGTGAACCTTCATCTACTATGTCTTTCTTTAGTTTTGCTAGAAGAGGGCCAAATCACAATCAGTTGATCTCAGTGACCTCAAATTGCATATGTTTTTTAAAAAATACTTTTAAAAATGATTAGGCTTCACTGAAAAGTAAATGAGCTGTTAGTGCAATGAGCTTTTTCTGAGATGATTTGCATGTTCTTAAAATGTCTTTTTAGGATTCCCTTATAAGATCTGAAAATCCCCAAGCTACCTTCCTTTTAATAAATAATTTAAAAAAACCTTAAATATCTTCACTTTTCTAGCAATACCCCCAAAAAATCTAGATAAAATGTATTGACGGATATGAGAAAGAATAAGAGGAAAATGAAGGAGTTTTCAGCTACCTTGCCTGTTCTGTCTGAATTCAAGTCTCACTCTGCATCCTAACTTTGCATTTTACTCGTAACTCTATTATAGGCTGATCTAAGATTATAGACAGGTTCAGGCATTCCCTGACCTTTGTTTGGGTTTGAAATCCAAGCTCATGTTTTCAGATCTGTAACTTTCGCTCACCTTTGTGCTTTTTGGCTTTAGCCATAGCCAGAAGCAGGAAATACTGGAAATCCTACATAGAAAAGTGTTTTGCTAAGATTTTGAGCTCAGTTCTCAGGACTCAGGATCCATCACCAGTGAGATTTTAAAGGGCTCCAGACTCCTTTAAGCAGGGTATTTTTAGTGACCTTCCATTGTATTTAGAATTATAAATAATAAATATTAATCATACAGGATTGTATATCTACATTGGCAAGGCAGCATTTCTGAAAAGAATCTAAGTGACAAGACAGACATTGCAGATTTACAATAACTTTGTTCATAAATTTTTTGCAAGATGTAAAGAAAGACATAGTGCAGAGGGGGGAAGAAGCCAACAATGTGGATTTAATAATCTACATTTCAGAAATGCAGACCAAATGTCTGTAAAGATGTCCATTTCATCCAAACATTTCTTAGATATTTATTTCAAAGCTCCCTGCTCAGTCAGTCCAACACTCCATTCATATTGGAACTAATATTGATTTTTCTTCTATTAGCAGTGGTATGGAAGTGCTAGAGGATCCCATATATTAGTTGCTCTTATTCTCTGTTAGACTATTTCAATTGCCAAGAGGTCATCTTGCTGTACAGGTAGGACTAACGAAGTATCTGTTTCAAGACTATTTAAACGAGGGCTTCTGACAAACACTTTTTCCAATAGAAAAAACCATATAGTGATACTGCTTTGTCAGGTCTCATGTGGAGTATAGCGCTACAGGTTCCTCCTACGATTGCATCAGCTGAAAAGCCACTGCCAGGAAGGCATGACAGTCTGTATCACAAAGAAACTAGACATCTTTGTTTCCTACAAGAAAGTTCAGCTGAATTGCACATAGCATTTATTTTGAATATGTATTTATTTTATTTTAACCCATAGCCACCTTTCCTCCTCTCTTGTCCCTGCTCAAATTCGACTCCAAGTTAGCCATAACCATTCTGCCGTTTCCTCAGTGCGAAGTAGCAGGATGCTCCATCTTGTCTTGTGGGGTGAAGCAGAGAGAGCCCCCTTTCTGCAGTGAGTGACTTGGGCTAATTAGCTGAGTTTAAAGTATTGGAAAAAATTAGGCAGTGGAGATCCCACTCATGTAAAGCCCCAGAAGCACATGGAAACATTCACTTTTTAAAATGAATTGTCGTTTTAAAGAAAAAAAACCAACCCAAAGTCTTGTGTCCTCCTTCATGTGTATTCTTCTAAGCATCAGGAAGTTTGCATTTGTTTATTATTCTGCTAGATATATTCATTATTCTTGAATTGCTTTTGATATGAAGAAATATTTTTCCAGTAAGATTTTGCCTTTCTGCTGAATCTTTCATCTCTTCATTAAGTTTGATGTCCGCAATGACCTAGTAATTCCAGAGGAGGCAGGAAAGCTGTGAGGCTTATACTTGTTGAGAAGTTGAAGGTGGTAATGATTTTTTTGGAGAAAACAGTATTAACAGCATTTTTTAAAAAGTGTCTTTTCATGTAGGATGCCTTAAGCAAGGGTGATAGACTGTTTAGTCTGGACTGTGATTTTTAGCACAGACCTGCGCAAGCCACTGTGTTTAAGGTGGCTTTGCCTAGGGATTTCCCCAGGATACATAGAGATGTTCCCTCTGAGTCACAAAATTTCCCATTTTCTTGGTCAGGTCAGATCTGCTGGTTTGTATCGGCACTGAACCGTGACAGCCCGCTAACTAGTGCTAGGCAGCGAAGAGAACTGTCCTGTTCCCTTTTCTCCCCTTCTAGCTCATGTGCAGGGAAAGCAGAAAGCATTAATCTGTTTTATTTGCTTGCCCCACATCCCAAGCAACACTCTAGCCCTAGGAAAGCACAGAAACCCCATCCAACGCTGGTTTTGAAAGCTTGATCAGTCCATGTTTTAAAGTGTGACATAAAGGTCTGAAGAGTCCCATGTAACTCCTCAGGCACTCCCCACGCAGCATTACAGGACTCAACAGCATCTCAGAGACTGCAGCAATCATGTTATTCCCCCATTGCCCCAAATCATTC